TGGTCATGGGTTTTTTTTTCAATTTTTCTATCCAGATTTTGTTTCTATTTTCCTTTTAAATGTTGTTTGGTTTTTACACTTGTGGGTGATTAAAAATGCAGCACATAAAGGAGTCAAATTTAGAGAGACAAGTGGCAACACATGAGTGGGTGATGAGACATATTGTGAGTGGAGTGTGTCTTGTACTATTTTTTTCTTTTTGTGCAGATTTTGTCAAAGATTCCAGCACTCACACATAACATTTAATCACTTCACACATGTGCACAAAGGACAAAGAAATAATCATGTAATGATGTGCATGGAAAGATGGCCAATCATGTATGTGTAGGAAGGAAATAACACATAGATTTTAACACAAATTTGGAGCATGTCAAGGACTAATCAATAAGCATGAATGACTTCTAAATGGTGCCGGGAATTTTTGGCCAGCCCATGGAAAACACATATATCATACATTTTTCATTTTCTCATACATCAAATTGGTGCATCATACATCAAATTGGTGCATCATACATTTAGGTATTTGTCTTTTTTTAGGTGGGTGAAAGAAACACAATTTTGACGAAACTTAAAAGGTAAAAAGGATCAAAATGAGATGCAATAGATGTTCTTCATGTTCTTAAGATATTTTTCCAGCAAACAAGAGTAAAAAACAAAAAATGGAACACAAGAACCTAAGACTCAAGAAAAACCCTAAAGCACAAAAGGAGGCTCATGAACAAGTAATGAACCATGGAGTAACATAAAGAGACATTTATATCAAGTTTTCATGGATGAAAATGAGACATAAAGAAGACGCAAATCAAGACTCAAAGAAAGATAAAGACTCAAGGAGATGAAAAGAAAGCTAGTTACCCTTGAAGATAACCTAAGCTCTTGATACCAAATGATGGACTCCTTCCACTATGGGGTTGATCAATGACGTCCAAGGTGGGGAGAAGCTCCTTGCCAAGGCCAAGATGATGACCTTAAGGGTGGATGTTCCTTCAAGGGTGGAAAATTTAGGGAAGGTGGGCATGAAAGGGGAAGGTTGGGCAAATAAGGAAAATGAAGGGAAGGAGGTGTTTTGGGTGCTTCTAGGTTGGGTCTCTTCACTAAGTGGAGGTGAAGGCCAGTCAAGGAACCCTAAACTCACTCAAGGGAGGAGAAAGGAGAAGTAGGTCGTGGAGACCTAGTGACTATGGAAAGGATTTGAGGCAAAATGCTCTCTCAAATTCATATATTCCAAAGTGTGTACAAGGTGCTAGGCTAAGGATACTTATAGGAGTGGGAAGGCATCTAGGGTTGCATTTAGGGTTGCATGACCGTGTAATGCAGCCCAAATGCAAGCCAAATGCAACCTAAATGAATCTTAGATGATGTGTCGGTTCCTTCCTACCAAAAGACCAAAATACCCTTTGACCTAAAAATAGAAAAAAGTGGACTTTTGACCTCACAAGTCAAGGTTTAAGCCCAAAAATAAATCCTAAACTAATTTTCCCCATAATACAAAGGCTAAATGAAAATACATAATAAAATCCTATTATCTAAAGTACCCCCAAAATACAAGGATAAGAAAGGAAATAAAGCAATAAAGTCATATACTACTCAAAATGGGCCTAGGAAATGGATCAATAATCCACACTCATGATGAGTATGGCTCTAGGGATGGTGTCTCCTTCATCTTCCTCCATTCTCCTAGCCATTATGAAACTCTAAGGGTGGTCCTCCATCATCAAGTCTTTAATATTACAAAAAATCTAACAACAATTCTTATAAATAAAAGATTACTGAACATTCAATTCTTGTAAATAAACTTTAAAGAAAGTTCAACATAATAAAAGTTGCAATTAAACTTCCAATATCATAATCATGTGTTAATAATATTCTCTCCAAGACCTACGAAAAAAGTTATACAAAAATTAGTTAGATTAAATTATATACTACAAATTAAAAAAAATATATATATAGACATTTGATCTCATATATATATATAT